CTTTTCAGGTAGTGTTTTTTAACTGCTGCTAAAACTGCTGTAGACCATAAGTGATTTGTACATCAAAAAGTAATCCCTGAGGCTTCAGTAAACAAGATTTTTAACCTTTCTACGCTGGTCCTTTACATCCAAAAAAAAAAGAGGAGTGGTACTAAACACAACTAAGCTCCGATTCAGCCTTTATTTGGGTGCAGGTGGAATCTGTGACTTGCTCTAGCCTGCCCAATAGATCTTTGTTGCTTGAGTGTTCTTCTGGTTGAAGAGCTTCGAGGCACTGCTTTGGCCACAGGCTCAGTGCCTGAAGCCACTGTCCAAGGGTGTCCTGAGCCCCTCAGCAGGACTTGTCTCAGGGGCTCACTGGAAGTTACTGGGTTTTGCACAAGATCAGCTTTGCTCTGCATCAGGGACTGTAGTCTCAGCTGTAGGCCCTGAGAAACTTGTTGAACATCTGTGAACAAGCAGCAGTAAAAGATTTTTTGTTCTGGCTTAACTTTTATTATTAGAGTGCTCAAAATTTCAGAAGGTACCATCTGAGAAAGACACTAGTTAGTGCCTTTGCACTAATTAGTGCCCTCAGGGAGCCATTTACATGCAGGAAGAAACAGAGGACAGCAGGGATTTCCTGATTTGTCTCAAGTCCAGTCAGCTGGGATTGTGGGAAACCACATCAACATAAATTGAGTCGGCTCAACATATCAGTTCTGCCTGTCCCCCCATAACATTATGTCCAATTTGTACTTCCAAGGACAGAGGGGATCCTTGGTCTCACCTAACAGCCTGAGTCTGGTGGAGGAGGAAGGTGATGCAGTCATTTAGTCAGTTTTTATTATTGCAACCCTTTCCTCCATTCCTTGCCAAACTCTCCACAAGTGATCTAACTTTTAGGATGTATCTTTTGTTCTGACCTGTCATGAACTTGAGCCTGGATTTACTGTAGTGCACTCCTGTCTGTGCTTAGCATTTTGGGAAGCATTTACTGTGCTAAGAAGATTTTTAAGAATTTTTTTTTTTCAGTAAGTAGAAAATATTGCATCAGTCTGGTTTGAAGCCATTTTATATGTTGCTTCTCCCCAGCTGGCTGAATGCCCTTTCCCTTCCCCCTTCTCTTTTACGTGGCAGTGCACGGAAAGATGATTGATGGAGCGTCACCAGCACGTTGTCAAAGGCTGGAATAGATTAATGGGCAAGAAACACCAGCCTGTTCCCCTTCATGTGCGATTGTTTGAAGGCAGGCTCATATTTTTACAGGAATTATATCCTGCTTCTCTGGATTCCCCCAATCAGGAATTGAAGGATGGGATTTCTATCTGAGATTGAAAGGTGGCAGCCACAAAGAGCCAGTTTATTACTTGGGACAACTGCCTGCCTCCCATCTGACCAACAGCATCTCCCTGAGGCCTGTTTCAGGCAGGTTGCTCGCCTCCTTAATAAGGTGGATTTTTGCCACCAGTTAACATTTACACCTCTAGTTCTTTCTTCTTGCAGACACAACTCATTATGGCATAGGCCACGTGGAGCTCTGATCTGTAACCCGATTTTCACCTGAGGGACGCTGGTCAGTGTGCCTGTGCTGCAGGGAAGGAGCACATCTCACCCCAAGAAGCTCAGAACCTTTTAAAAGGCCTTTTTCGTTGTTGGCCTGGGCCACAAAGTCAGCTTTGATCTGTGCCTCAATTCCCCAGCTGCAAAACAAGGATAGCAATATGGTAATTTCCAAACATTGCACTTGCCATGGATTGTTTTCTAGCAGAAATGCTGGGAATGCAATTTATAAGAGAAATTAATCAAAGACTGGGCTGAATCCTGGCAGGGGAAAATAATCAAACCCAGAGTATGAATGTTTTCTGCATTTTCTTCAAGGTAGACATTGCCAGCATTTCGTAATCAGCTATTTCAGGCCTAACAGATATTTCAGCATTGTTATTTGTAGTCCCCAGTAGTGGCCTCCACTAAAAGGTTTGAATGTGGCAGGAATTACGTCTTTCACACCAGTCTATCTGTGTCTACCAGGAGGCTACACCTGGCTGTCATAAACCCCTGCTCCAAGGGCTAGCTGCAGCCCATTTTTCTGATTATCCAGGAAACAGCTGTTTTTCCCAGTTTATTCTCTCTTCAGTGATTCTGATCTCAAGCCTGTGTCCAACCAGATAAAAGCTACATTTAAGAGCCTCTTGAAGCAGGTGCATTTTCTTTTCATATGTAGCTGGAAAGCAGAGCTACTGTTAATATTCTTTTAATAATTTTGCAAGCAAAGTAATAAAGAAATCTGCACTTGTTGCCTGGCTGGTGAGAAGTGATTACCTGTGGTTTGGTGATCCAGTGCAGCTCTCTGTCTGCTTTTCTGTCCTGTTGTGACAAAGGTCTGTGCTTCAGTATTTTCTTTGATAGAGATTTGCAGCAGATGATGTTTAGTTAGAAATGATTGCTGAATATGACTATACCTGCCCTGTATGTTCTTGTGGTTCTGCTCTCGATGCAGCCTCTGGGGAAACACATTCTCTGATTTACATTTACAAAACTTGGCATTCTTCTGGGGAGTTTGAGACCTGCCTGAATTTGGAATCTGTTTGAGAGAACTGATACTTCATATACCTGGCATTTCAGCTGTTTCCTGTTTACTTTTGTGACAGTTTGCTGCATATTGGCCATGATAATCATGACCTAAAAACAAGTTGCCCTTTGACAATTGTGATCTAAAAACAAAAATCAATTGCCCTTTTTTCTGCAGCCATTTCCTGGAGTCCAGAAATCAATATCTGCCTCTGTAAGGCAGGTTACACGGAAGTTTTGTAATTGTTGCCCCAGTCAATTCTTCCCAGATGGAACACTGGAAGGAAAAGGAATCTTCCTATTACATGCCCCTGCTTGGTACAGGTGGAACTTACACAGTTTGCAAGTTGTGTGCAGTTTGAAGCCAGGCCAGGGTCTCTTTGAGTCATGATGTGGGCCACAAGCAGCCTCATCTTCTATGCTGACTGCAGCCTAAATATCTGGGAGAGCTTCTTGCCCTTTGGCAATTTGTATTCATTTGTTCTCCAAGAAAACAAGGCTTAAGGGAAGACTTTTACTAAGCACCTTATAGATGCACCAGCTCAATGTACAGTTTATGTGTCTCCCCTTTCTCTTTCACTGGAAAAGGACTGGGCTGGATATTTGGAGCCTGCTTTTCCTTACAAAAAGCCCAAAAAAAAAAAAAAAAAAGATTGTGTAAGCATTAATGATTTGTTATTGTGTCTGGGAGCCACAATGCTGCAGGACTTTGCTCTAATGGTGCTTTCACAAGAAAGAACTAATTTGACTAACTTTATTAATTTCAGTTTGTTTTAAGTTTGCTCATTAGTAATTTAACGCAAGATGCTTCAGCTGAAGAGGCCATGTCAGGACAAGGAAGAGCAGAGGGAAAGTGCCAGGAATCATTAGTGTTTATTAACCACTGCACTCATCAATCTTGACTAAGAGCACAGCCCATTCGTTCTGGACTGGTGGTCTGAGATACAGAAATATCATTAACAGTGGAAAATGCTTCTTTCCAGGTCAGTCTGTAATGGGCAGGCATCCAGACAACACCCCCACCCCCATCCCCAAATGTTCAGCTGGTCTCCTCACAATCCAGCCCAATCTGACAGCTCAGCAGCCTCTGGAAGGAGGAAGGCCTGCCCCTAGCCAGCCATAGTATCAATTAACAAATACAGCATTTTCGTCCCCCATAAGCATTACTGAAAGGTTAAGTGTTTTTAAGAAGGGATTTTTTAATTGCTTTTCAAATTATTAAATGATTCATACTTCTGTGCTTTGCTGGATCAGGTCTGGCACTTTGTGTTGGCAACATATTTTTCTCACTGAAAGTCTTGAAACATTAAAATGGAAAGGTTTCTCTTTTTTTTCTGTTTAGACAAAGCGTTTAATAACAAATTTCAGCAACTGCAGGGCACTGAGCTGATGACTCAGAGCTCTGACCTGTGAGTCGGGGCTCTGAATGAATGCATCCAAAAGGTTGGAGGAGGGAATAATACTACATTTGCCAGGTTTCTAATGAGAAATATGACTCTGCCCAGTCCACTTGCACTCATTAAGGATCACATTTCACTTTGAGATGTGTTTTCTTGCATCCTACCCAAATTGCAACTTGAGTGGTTACATTCTGCTCACTAAAATATCCCTGTGGTTTAATTGAAGAAGTTATGTTTCCCTTCCCCTCTTAAAAGCTTTGTTGTATAATGTTGTGGTGCTGTCATGATCTGTGCTGTCAGATCTACAGAGCACGCACACACAGCCCCCAGGTGAAAGCCTCTGAAGCCTTCAACAGTAGGAAATAGAATGAGGGGGAAAGTGGCATCTTGGGAAGGTGGTTCAGCATTGCATCCCCATTTGAGCCTCTTGCCGCCCTTGTGAAGTGTGTGACAACGCTGTCACACTGCAGGGGCAGCATTTTGCATTTCCTTTGCACATGTGTAAGTCACTGCAAAGGCAGAGCATCAGGTGCCCGCTCCTGGGCATCAGGTCTGTGACAATGGGCACACTGGACTGAGCACTGTGATGGTACAGCCTGGAAACAAGCAAAGACATTAAAACACAACATGGATGTTCAGACACATTGTGTGTGTCATGATGTTTTGTGGATGAGATTTAGGTACTTTATTGGAAAAGGGTTTGTGTTGGATGACATTCGGTGATTGAGGGGATGGAAAGAGATTGCAGTTTAATTAAAATTCTAATCCCAAGTTTGACAATTTTTCTTGCCAGGTCAGCAGCCTGTATGTTCAGTTTCTGATTGTGTGAATTAAATGGGCTGACAGTCATCAGCTTCTTCGGAAATGCCCGTAAATCCAGCTAAAAATTAGCAAACGTCAATATGTTTCACAGCAGCTTCGAGCAGGGCTGTGTCACGCAGCAGTTTCCCATCAGTGTCCCTTGCTGCCAGTGCTGAAATCCAAACGAAACCCCTGTTGTGCAGCAGGAAGTGGTGCCGGTGTCCCCTCACCGCTGTGTCCCGTTGGCAGGTGGTTGAGCAGTGCTGTCACCTGTCCCCAGCCATGAGGCTCCCGGTGCTCTGTGCCTTGGTGACGCTGCTGAGCCTGTCCCGCTGCCGGGCCGTCAGCTTCCCCGAAGACGAGGACCCCATTAACGTCGTGGACTACCACTGTAAGTAATTGCATAAAGTGCTGCTGAACACCAGGGAAAAACTTCTAATGTTGAATTCTTTTTTCCCTTGCCCCCCTCACTCCTAGGGAAATTTTTAAAAAATCTGATTCCTTTCAAATTGAAATGTGTTTACTGGCTTTGTATCTTTAATAGAACACTTAATCATTTTCTTAAAAAAGCAATCAGAAATACAGCAATAACTTCAGGAAAAAGAACATTTGCTGACATTAGCCGTCTTTTTCTCATTTATATTCAAGACATTACTCAAGGAATTTAGTTTAAACCCTTCTACACCTAGTATATACAGCTAATCAATGCCATATATTGATTCTTTAGCTCTATAATCCTGAGTGATGGTGTAGCCCATTTTTACTTGCAGATTCAAGGCAATATCCAGTATTTAGAGGACGCCCTTCAGGCAATGAATCTCAGCACAGACTGGACTTCCAACTAATGTTGAAAATTCGAGACACACTCTATATCACTGGCAGGTAATTTTCCTTCACTCAGTTCATTAGATTAAAATTCTTTTCTTTTCTGGTTTTGCATTTATGTGTAAAATTCATTTAGAAAAATGTGCAGAATATGATAAAAATTAGAATCGGGGCAGACTTTCCCAGAGAAATATACCATATCTATGGCCAGTGCATGAAAATTGGATTTGAAGGCTGCAGTTAGTGTAGTTAAGCTTAAACCAATGATCAAATGCTCTTTTCCCTCTTTTATATTACTGCCCTGCCTGATAAAAACCTCTCCTGATCATTTTAAACTCGGACTGACACGTTAGGGCTGTAGGAAGTGAGGATAACACACTTACATATTTACAGCCCAGGTTAGTCCTCAGCAGAATGGGCAGACAGGGATGGACAGCTGGACACTGCAGGTACTATATCAGGACCACACCAATAAAAATCAAAGCCACCCTGTGTTACACATGAACAACCTTCTCCCATTTACATTAAACATAGAAAATCCATAAGCACTTCATAGAAGTTGTTGGTCAGACATAACATTCTAAAAATAGACTTAGCTTATCAAATAAAGAGGCACAGAATTAATGAATTTACTTCTGTCTTTTTACTTTGCAAACAGGGACCAGGTTTACACTGTAAATTTAAATGAGGTTCCGAAATCAGAAGTTATCCCAAGCAAGGTGAGTAGTTGCCTGCTGGAAAGGGAGAGGTGTTTTCTTTCGTTTTAATGGGTTGTTTTAGGAATTTGCTGTGGCAAGGTATTCAAATGTTCCTTTCTGGTGTGCTTTAACAGAAATTAACATGGAGATCAAAGCAGCAGGACAGAGAGAACTGTGCTATGAAAGGCAAACATAAAGTAAGTTTAGCACATTATAGGAAAATGACACTAGTATTTATTATATACATGGATTTTGTGATTAATACATCTTACTCTCTTTTCAGGATGAATGTCATAACTTCATTAAAGTCTTTGTTCCAAGAAATGATGAGATGGTGTTTGTCTGTGGAACAAATGCATTTAACCCTATGTGCAGATACTATCAGGTAAGAGTACTGAAGATGTCATTAATCTGTTGCTGGTTTTATTTGCACTGGTTATGCCGTAGCAAATACATCCAGTGTGCCTGGAGAGTGCTTCAAGGTGAAATAAAAACAGACAGAAGCCAGTGTGCTGAATTAAGTTTTCTGGAAAGACAATGTTTTGCTTTTGTGCCAGTGCACAAAATAGAAATGACACTATCACCCATTTATTTTTCTTCTCTAGTTGAATACATTAGAGTATGATGGGGAGGAAATTAGTGGTTTGGCAAGATGCCCATTTGATGCCAGACAAACCAATGTCGCCCTCTTTGCTGGTAAGAACTTTTACTTGTAATGAGTCTAAATGATTAATGACACCAAAGGAGACAGAGAGCTTTTAAAGCAAGCACAGGAAAGCTAAAGGTGTCATGGTCCCCCTGCTCTTAAACTTTTTAAAGGGCCTCCAAAGGATTAGAAGCTGACCTGTTAATAAATAGGTTACAGCAGTCTGGGGAAGTGTGACAGTAAAGAAATGGGGAAAAATACAGGCTAGTCAGAACTCTTTAGATTATCAAAGGCCTCTTAATACCATGTTTTCAACTTCCATTTTAGATGGAAAATTGTATTCGGCAACAGTAGCAGATTTCCTGGCAAGTGATGCTGTTATTTATCGCAGCATGGGGGATGGATCTGCCTTAAGAACAATAAAGTATGACTCCAAATGGATAAAAGGTAATTTGGGGAGTATTTTCCCATACACATGGCAAATGTAATTTCAGTGGCACAGAAGGTTAGGTTATTCACAGTCAGACTGGTTTACACATATGCTACAATGTCAGCATGTATGAGGCTTTCAGAATATTAAAAAGCTGCATTAAAAAAAAAAAAAAAAACAGACAAAATTTTTGTTAAATCCTTCAACAAATGAATTTGCAGTAACAAAATACCTTAGTTGAAATACAGTTTCTGTGGGGCCTTGTTACAGTCTATTAGCCAATGCTAAAGACTTCATTTAAACTCCAGTGTACCTGTATTTGGACATCCTAAAGTATCTTTATACTGGAGCTCACCTTGGCTGGTTTGGACCTGGGGAGGAGCTGCCAAATCTCACAGTGTCACTGTCGTGTGCCCATTGAGCAGTTCTTTGAAGCAACTTTTCCTTGCTCTTTCTTACAGAACCACACTTCCTCCATGCCATAGAATATGGGAACTATGTTTATTTCTTCTTCAGAGAAATTGCTGTAGAGCACAACACTTTAGGCAAGGTCAGTATGGTCACCGTGAGCACTGAGTCACAGCAGAAGGAGCTCATTCTAAAACAGCATCAGGAACAAGCACAGTTCATAATATGAAGAAGGACCTAGGACAAAGCTTGCACAGTTTTACCACGGTTATAATTTACAGGGAGGGGAGAAAAAGAGAATTAGAGCACTGCATTCTTCAACCAAAAAGCTCTTTCTGTTCTCCAGGCCCTGCTGTTAGGGAGCTCACTACAGGTGTCTTTCAATGTGCTGTTGCCTTAGTGCTGCTGTTGCCTTAACTCTTATACCAAGTACTGGAAGAGCTGAGGATGTTTTCATGCTTATTAAAAAAAAAAAAGAAAACAACACAAAAGGAGAGCTTCAAAGAAGTTTCTCTAATGTCCCTGGATATTGAATAATTCAGTCATGCCAGTACAGAGTATAATACTCATGCCTCACCATGGAAGGATATTCTACAATAAATTATTACATCCCTTACACATGGTTAATTAAAGTCTTTAAATCTCACTAACAATATGATTTTGAAGGTGAAAAGGGTGGGAGGAAGCTGTGGAGATGCATTTGCTTGGTGATACATTAAGATGCCTGTGCACTGTGAGCTGAACACCATTTGCTTTCATCTTCTCTATGCAGATAAATGGCAGCTTCCTGTTAACAACATTATCTTGGTGTTTTATTAACAGCTCAGAAACAAGCACTGCCTGTCTCAAGCCTCTCTCCCTTTTTCCTTTCACAGGCTGTGTATTCCCGCGTGGCACGCATCTGCAAAAATGACATGGGGGGCTCCCAAAGGGTCCTGGAGAAGCACTGGACATCCTTTCTGAAAGCTCGGCTCAATTGCTCAGTTCCTGGGGATTCATTCTTCTACTTTGATGTTCTGCAGTCTATCACAGACATAATAGAAATCAATGGAGTGCCCACTGTTGTGGGGGTATTCACCACACAGCTCAACAGGTAAGAGATGAGCAACCTTTCATCAAAGGCAGATCTCGGGTTCTCTCTTACACAAAGATTGGTGCCATTGTAATCTGAGTTCTTGAAACCATTTTTTGAATTTTACAGCATCCCTGGTTCAGCAGTGTGTGCTTTTAGCATGGATGACATTGAGAAAGTCTTCAAAGGGAGATTTAAAGAACAAAAGACTCCTGACTCTGTTTGGACAGCTGTACCTGAAGACAAAGTACCAAAGCCAAGGTAAAAGGTTCTTACTCGTGATGTCATAACATTGTCCCTGTAAAGAGCTACCTTAAATCAGCTGCACTCTTGAGTGCCTTGCTGGGTAAACCCAAAGCAGAGCTTGATACTTCAGCCATAAGGATGCTCATTAACCGGCTGCCTTCTCTCATTAACTAAAGTATCAAGAGGAAAACAATATTGTTCTCATTTCAGACCTGGCTGCTGTGCAAAACATGGCCTAGCAGAGGCTTACAAAACCTCCATTGATTTCCCAGACGAAACGCTCTCCTTCATCAAATCTCATCCATTGATGGACTCAGCTGTTCCCTCAGTCACTGAGGAGCCCTGGTTTACCAAAACACGTGTCAGGTATGACAGTTCAAAAGTAACACCTGTGAAAAGGAAAACAGGACAACTTGCTGCTAATGATGTGCCTTCTGGTCTTGCTAGATACAGATTGACAGCAATTGCTGTAGACCATGCTGCTGGACCCTACCAGAACTACACAGTCATATTTGTTGGCTCTGAAGCAGGAGTAGTACTTAAAATCTTGGCAAAGACCAGGCCTTTTTCTTTGAATGACAGCATATTACTGGAAGAGATTGAAGCATATAATCATGCAAAGTAAGTATTACTAGAACATCTAAGCTCTTCATCTAGTCCTTGGAACCTAGCTAAAAAAGATTATGGTAAACTAGCTCATTACCACCAACATCACCACTTGTCATTTCCTCGTGTTCCTCAAGTTGAATAACCTGAAAGTATTTGGTCACTTGCCATTTTGCATGGGTTGAATGAACAACCTAATTCCACTCCAGTGACGACAGTGACACGGTCTAACTCTCCCGCAAATACTTCTGAAACGTCAGAAGTACTTGGTGATGTTAAAAAGAAATTATCTGTGCTTATCTTGAGGGTTGTTCAAGAGTGGCTGATAGTGTATAACCTGTATCTGATAATTTTAAACTTGTTTATTTCTTGGCACAAAGAATTTGGGAGTGGAAGCATTCCAATTAGACTCTACAGCCATCCAATTCAGGATTCCTCCTCTGTTCTCTCGTGATACTTATGCTGACTGAGAGAACAAAGAAAATGGATTTGGATTTTTTTTTTCCTACATAGTTCAGTGAATTTCTCACCTAGCTGTTAGCAGAAGCCAGAAGCCAGCATTTGATAACTCAGAGGTTTGTTTAGCAATGTCTCAGCAAAGAGTAGTAGATTACATTTATGTATGTGAAAAGTTTCTGTTCTGTAGAGCTACACAGACAATAAATAAATGTGTTAATAATGTGTTTACTGCACAAAGGACTACAGTCACTAAAGCGGTGGCCTGCCCTTGTTTTTGCTGACCAGGTGTAATGCAGAAAGCGAGGAGGACAGAAGAGTCATTTCCCTCCAGCTGGACAGAGACCACCATGCTCTGTTCGTGGCATTCTCCAGCTGCGTCGTTAGAATTCCCCTGAGTCGGTGTGAGCGTCACGGGTCATGTAAAAAGTACGGCTCCATTCCTGAACCCTCCCCTTAAAGCAAGGGCACCAACATTTCTTGGGAAGGAAGTAAAAAATGCATGATTTTCTGGGTTTTTTCTCTTGCAAGGGCATGTATTGCTTCACGGGACCCTTACTGTGGCTGGTTAGACCATGAAGCGTGTGGAAGAGTGACACCAGGCATGCTGTAAGTACTCCTCTTCAAGTTAGCCCAGCATCTCTAAATATGCTTACACGATCTCATGCCCTGTGCCTCTTCCCTTGCACATAGTTATTGAATCTCTGGTTTTTTAAAGACTTTTTTTCAGAGCACTGTATATGTAAGAGAACAGAATGCTAAGTCTGGCCTAATTCTGGAACCTCTGAGTGAAGACTTGCTTTCAGTGGGAGTTTTAGATGTGTAGGAGGACAGGCAGACCTGTAGGAAGAGCAGTTGGAAGCGGGAGGGCAAGCAACTGCAGCATGCAAACCTGAGCAGCTCCAAGAGGACAGGATATAGTATTTCCTCCCAGGCATGCTCATGGTCAGGGCACAGGCAATTGCAAATACGAAAGCACAGGATTCACAGTGGGAAGAGCAAGGTTGTGCCTCTGTAGTGGAGCTGGGGTGTTATATATGCATACCAAAGGCATTTTGCACAAATCAAGTCTGTAATATATGGTGCACTAGCAGCTGTATCTTAAAAAGAGGCCTTTGTAGAAGGCCAGTGCAAACATTAACTGGTATAATTGGATGGTTGTATCTAAACCCAAGAGCATGCCCAATGGAGAAGACATGATGTAGTTGTTAAAAAATGGGATTGTTTTTCTTCTATTTCCTGGCATAAGCACACAGAGATAGTTTTAATGCTGGACTATCCTGTACATTTTGTACAATCATTTGGGCCATACACTGGCTGTTGTGTATGTTTCCATCTGCTGCTTCCAGGAAAAAAAAAATCTCCATTTGTATCCTTACTAATACTGTTAATTGCAGGTTCTCTTTGTTTGTTTCATACAACCACAGCACTGGAGGATATATACAAGATGTCGAATACGGCAACACGGCACAGCTTGGGGACTGCCATGGTAAGGCACAGTCACTGCTGCTCCTTTGGAATGTCTCACCATAGTCTGTGGCCACACCTCACTGTGGATGTTAAATTTCTGATGAGCTTTTCAGTAACATGATGAACACATCACCTGGTGTTACTGTGAATGTTCACAAAGCTGAGCTTTTTAGTCCTGGGTGGCAGAGTTTTTCTCTTTCCTTCACCAGTTTACAGCTATTTGGGGTCTACAGCAAAGTATTGAAGAATTTATTTTTTGTAACCAGTGATATTTTAGTTTTTATTTTCCATTACTCAGGTCTAAGAGCTTTTGCTTTCTTTTTGTTACTTTTTACTGATTACTTGTTCCTTTAATTCTTTTAGAAATTTTGCCTACTACAGCTACACCAGATTACAAAATATTTGGCGACCCAACATCTGGTTAGTTTTTTTTAATTTTTTTGAATTAATGACCTTTACTTTCCTTCAGTTCAGCATTTTCAGCCTCCTTTTTTCCCTCCTTTTGCACAGTTGGCAATCCTCCATTTTTGTGCTTTTACTCATGTTCCCACTGATGGTAAAGATAGTCAGACTCTTCTCACTCAGCACTTCACCCTGTGTAGCCGCATGTTAACAGCTCATTATTTATTGAGACATCTTTTATTAAAGAGCCTGATTAACATAGATGACATCTTCACTGCACGAAGTCCACTAAGCTTTACTCTTGATCCCCAGCCATGCGTTTGTGAATGCCCCTCTTGGTCATCTCTAGTAGATGAATGGCAGAACTTCATCATCTTCCTCCTTACCTCTCCTTTTCTCTTTTCCTTCTTTCCCAGCAAGCTTTTAGCACAAATACACATTTTCTAAAATGTGTATTTCTTTATTTTTGAAATGCTTTAAGTAGTTCATGCTAATGGAAAAAAATTTAACATCACAAACTGTGTAGCTGAATGAGAAATTGTGGAGACAAAAGTGGCTTAGAAAAAATGTTGTGCATTGTTGTCAGATGGACTTCTGCATCCTTTTTTCCTCCAGTGATTTTTCTAATAAGGTGTTCACCACCAGCCCCTGATGTTCAGGGACACCCAGTGCTCTTCTGTTGAACTCAAGAGCAGAACCTGTGTTGACTTCAACAGGAGCAAGACTCAGGTCTTACTTTCCAGTCTTTGCTTTTGGAACTTGGGTCTTTGCTTTCAAACCAAGGGCACATTTCTGACTGACAAATAGGACAATAATCTGTTTGTATGTTAAATTTGTAAGAGTGCAACAAGAATATTATTTGTGGTTTGGTTTGTGACATTTTCACTTCTGTTACTTGACAAGAAATACTATTCGAGACAAATATTTTCTAGATCTATTTACCCACAATGCAAGTTAGACTCACTTAAGGAAACAAAACAAAACTGTCACACAGAAATGCTGCCTGGCTTTATGAGTGTTTATCAACTGAATTTTCAAAGTGATAGATTATGGCACAGATACAATTGAACCTTATTTTCACGTCCTGAATGAGTGTGCTTTTGAAGTACATTTCTCAGGTCTGATCTCGAGCCATAGACTTTCCTGCCTAAATCTACTGGGACAGTGAACACAAAATACTCAAGGGTGCAAATGAGACTGTAGTGTAAACCCAATTTTATGAGTTTCCTCCTCTGTGCATTTTCATGTAGGCTGTGGTGGGTCTGTTCAGCAAACATACTACAGAGGAGCCAGAATCTCTGCAGTATTGCTCCTTAGGAACCATTACAAAATAGGGGTTAGAAACATTCCTTTTATCCCCACCTGCAGAAATGGCTCATTCAGCAGTTCCTGGTATACCGTAATAGCAGTAATGGAGCTGATCTGGTTTCTCAGGCATAACCTGTCATGAGTGTGCATCGTTCCAAGTAACTTCTTTTTTTTTGAAGATGTTTAAAAGGCAGCCAAGTATGTTGTCTCCAGCGAAGAATATAGCAATTAAGTAGACTAAGTTGTGCTTTTCACCCCCACAGTTGCTTACTTTAACTTTTGCACTGCTTTCACAGTTGACTTCTCTGGCTTTTTGGCTAGCAGCTGTTGAAGTGTAAATGTACTATTTTCATACTTCCAGTTTTGAAGTAATTGATTTTAATCAGCCATCTGTATTTCTGCAGCGTGTAGGGGGTCACATTTTGCTCTGACGTAACCCCCATAAAATACTGTGTCCAGCTATAGCTTAGATGTGCCATGAAACACATTAATAAAAATCTGTTTGCCACCACAGACATGGAGTTCTCCTCAGCTTCCATTACCACAATGGCAAGTATCCCAGTTATATCACCTAAAGTGATTGGTTCCTGGAAACCTAAAGTGACTGGCTCTCGGAAATTTGTAGTTCAAGATGACCCAAACACTTCTGATTATTCTGATCCATTATCAGGTGTCCCAAAGGGTAAGGCCTTACCAGGGAATACATTGCAGCTGAATGGAAACCTGATAGTCTCAGCATTGTCTAAGGCTTAAGTTAAATATAAGAACTATGATTGTTGGGCTCTATTTTACACCCATTTCTTGTGAATATGCAGACAGTGCAATCATGTTTTTCATACCTACTTATCCCATGGACAAAGTGCTGCTTAGAGCTTATAATGGGAAACACAGATACTACGCTCAGCTTTTTAATCCTGGAGTGGTCCAAAACTCCCATTGAAATCAATGGCAGTTCTGGATACATTAAAAAAATTACCTTCCACACCTCTGTTAAATCTTTGACTGTTTAAGCAGTAACTTAAACACTGGCTTAGACTGTTAGTCCTCATGAATGGTTGCTTATGTTTTGGAGTTTTTTCATTTGGGTTGGGGGTGGTGGTGGCAAAACAGAGCTCCATGAGACATCCATGTGTTAAACGGGGCATATCCCTACCTCTGCTTGCCTGGAATATGGTCCTGAACAAGGGTCAGAGTAAAACAGTGCTCTTTAATTTTTATCCTCTGGATATGAGCATCAGTTTAGAGATGATCTCAGTACATACTGAGACATCCAGAGGTTTTAAGCTGAACACAAGAAACATACTGTGCCTGTAGTTCATCTTTCTCTAGCCATTCTTTCAGCTAAGTGAGCCTTTGATTAGGCTCTTATGGTAACTGAGATTTTAATGTAATAGGACTACTGCAGTCAACCACAGGATTGAGAAGCTTCCAATCCCATAACCGAAATTTAACACAAGTCTCTCTCAGTGCGTAGCACAGCAAGGTGACGGACATGTTTGCACAATTCTGTATTTACTGAAAAAATCTCACCAGCCAAAAACCATTTCTGTTTTATTACCATTCACCAAAACATATCAGGTTTCCTATCAGCCATTATGGCCGTGCATTTGTCATTTTAATTTGTTGCAGTTATTTTCTGTTTTGCTTTACGTTTTTATTATCATCTGCTCTTGGTTCTCAATCACATTTTGTGTCATAGCTATTAGTGAACTTTACTCATGTTTTCCTTCTGCTTCTGCACAGTGCCATTAAAACCTGTAACCCTGAACATTAACAATATTCAAAGGCCTTGCCTCTAACAAAAAGTGGCTCTGTTCCTTCCCTCTTGCTCTTTCATTTTAACATCTCTTGGGATAGCAACAGAATTACTTTCATTAAAAACTAACGTTGTCTTAGCTGCAAGATGTCTGTGGTTGCTTTAAAAAAATCTAAAAAAAAAAAAATCAAAGGGAGCCTGTTAATACCCAAATAAAAAAATTAATCAAATACTCAATTTCTTGGTCTAAAAGTTTCTAAGTTTTAACATTCTCTAATAATTTAACCTAAGTTGTTTTTATAATGTTATTCAAGTATTTACATTTGTTATTGGTAAAAAATAAAAATAAGTGCTCTTACAGAATCACATTATCTTCAAACTTGGACATGTATAATGAGTGCAGTTGTGCCATTCCAGGGCTAGCAGCCTGAGAGTGGAGTAGTTTACAAGTTTTCTACTGTATTCCATTAGCGTGGCTGTAGCAATGCAGTATATATGTTATACATTTTTACACAATATTTGCATAATCCCATCTCTCCTTTGATACTGATTTATGAGTTGGGCAGGAAAGTGAGAGAGAAATCCATCCATGAGTTATTAATTGCTGTCTGGCCCAGTAGGACCTTCTAACCTCAATTTTCCAGCAGAAATCATTAATGTTAATAACATAAGGCCCCTATTTGTGAGCCTTAAAGGAAATTTGGGGACAGGCTAAACAAAACAATATAAGGAGAGAAGCTGCGACAAGCATTCCTCATTATCAGAGAAAATGGACAGTCTTCATTTAGTCTTGTCAGTGCACACACAGTCATTTTATAATTTCTATAAAATTATTTGCATTCGCCAGTGGAGTAAATTGCTGGATCCTACTGAGTTACACCAGCACCACAGCCAGAGCACTTAAAAACACTTAATAGACACTTCCATGAGGAAGGGTGCCTTCTGCTGAAATGTGACAGTGTGAAATACCTGTGAATTTATGATATCCTGCCTGTCTTTTTGCAGGTGTGAGGTGGGAAGTACAATCAGGAGAGTCCAACCAAATGGTACATATGAATGTCCTAATCACTTGTGTCTTTGCCGCTTTTGTCCTGGGAGCCTTTATTGCGGGAGTGGCCGTTTACTGCTACCGGGATATATTTGTGCGGAAATCCAGGAAAATACACAAAGATGCAGAATCAGCTCAGTCCTGCACTGACTCCAGCGGGAGCTTTGCCAAACTGAATGGGCTGTTTGACAGTCCTGTCAAGGAGTATCAGCAGAACATTGATTCACCCAAACTGTACACAAACCTGTTGACCAGCAGAAAGGAGTTGCCTCCAAATGGTGATACCAAGTCCATGATGATGGACCATAGGGGACAGCCTCCAGAATTAGCTGCACTTCCAACTCCAGAATCTACTCCAGTTCTTCAACAAAAGACTCTGCAGGCTATGAAAAGTCAGTCAGACAAAACCCATGGTAACCTCAATGCTTCGCGGAAGGAAACCCCACTAAAAAGCCCTCAGTTTTTTCCTTCTAGTCCTCCACCCCACTCTCCTCTAAGTCATGGACATATTCCCAGTGCTATTGTTCTTCCCAATGCTACCCATGACTACAATACGTCTTTCTCAAATTCTAATGCGCACAAGGCAGACAAAAAGATGCAACATATTGATCATCCACTTACAAAATCATCCAGCAAAAGAGACCACAGGAGATCTGTTGATTCCAGGAACACCCTGAATGATTTTCTGAAACACTTAAATGAAACTACTAATAATCCTAAAGCGATTATGGGAGATATTCAAGTGGCCCACCAGACTTTAATGCTGGATCCAATGGGCAATATGTCTGAGATCCCACCTAAGGTTCCCAACAGGGAGGCATCTTTATATTCTCCTCCATCGACTCTGCCAAGAAACAGTCCCACAAAACGAGTGGATGTTCCCACCACTCCTGCAGTACCAATGACCTCTTTGGAAAGGCAGAGGGGTTATCACAAAAATTCTTCACAGAGGCACTCAATATCTGCCCTTCCTAAAAACTTGAACTCACCAAATGGTGTTTTGTTATCCAGACAGCCAAGTATTAATCGTGGGGGGTACATGGCTCCCACAGCAGGCACTAAGATGGACTACATGCAAGGGACGCCTGTCACCGTTCACCTCCAGCCTTCCTTGTCCAGGCAAAGCAGCTACACGAGCAATGGCACCCTGCCTCGCACAGGAATAAAGAGGACACCCTCCCTAAAACCCGACGTGCCACCAAAACCCTCATTCGTCCCTCAGACAACGTCAGTCAGACCACTGAACAAATACAGCTACTAGGACATGTCTGAGTGTGGCACTGACCTGTACAGGTTGTGAAATGATATTGTGGTAGACACATAAGGCAGAGACTTGCTTGTTACTAAGGAGAACAAAGTGGCCAAAGAAACTGTCTTTACTTGAGCAACATCTGTGTCTTGCCACATGTAGCTGTAGCAAGACTTAGTGTACTTGCTACAAGCAAACAAAAAAAACAAAGGAAAGTGCTGGTCATTACATTTCTTTTGTTTGGAGCTAAGGAGACATGTAGCACAATGGGGTGGGGGCTACGTTACTGTTCTAAATAGCTAAACAACAGTTGTTGGGAAAAAATCAGTAAGCAAATACTTGAAAAAATGGGTTCCATTTTAGACTGCCATTAAGTGTGGTCATTCCCATTAAATGTGAACATTTTACTATGTATGCATTCACCTTGCCTCTTGCACAAATGTCAGAAAATGGTAATGTCTCAATGAATAGCTGGGTTAATAATCAATTTGCTGGAATTAAGTCTCTGGCCCAACTGTAGCATTATTTTTTTTTCTCTCCATGTGTGTGGCATTTTGTTTTTGCCACAGATAAAGCTGTGCGTGTGTGTGGATGTGTGTGTGTACTGTACACACTAGGATGTACTTAGATTCCCATTGCATCTTTTATGCTATGGAATTGTTTACATTGAGCATGACTGAACAAACAGATGACTCTGCCTTCTGCAGCCCGCTGGGCTCAGCTCGGAGCCAGCTACGGATGAACTGTGCATCTCTGACAGCCTTCTGAGGGGAACGCCTGGATGAAAGAGTCACCCAGTCAAAGAGTGCAGATATGTTTAATTCTTCATAACTGCTATGCTGCTATTGATTCAGAGCTGTGCATTTCAAATCTAGTGTTCTGGGCTGGAACGGGGGAGTTCTACTGTGTTTCCACAGTGCCTCCATCCAAAACCTGGCCACTGTGAACTTGAGCCCCTGTACTTCTCACTGAGGGCAGCTAATAGTCAGTTCACTTGGCAAATGCCTGTGTAACTGGAGAAGGTCACGTTTTTGTTGCATTTAATAACGCCCTACACACTGATAGACTCTTGTCAATAAAAAAGGAGAAACATTAATTGGCCTGGCAGAAGCAGTCTGTGAAAACTCAAACAGTAGTGCAATCAATTTGTTTTTGTTGTGTAAAGTAAGGTTTGTTTTTTTCCAAAGTCATGCAGGTAATGACAATATTCTGTAAATATTATGTGTGAGTTTACCTGAATCTGTGCATTTTGTGCCTTATTCATGCAAATGATAAAAGTACTAAAAAAAATTAAATCTGTCAAGTGTTCTCACTATAGCACATATCTCCCGAGTGCCAGTTGTAAAACCTCTCAACAGCACCCGAAAAAAAAAAAAAGATAAAACGCAAGAATAATTAATGGTAACTAAAGGCAGCCTACAATCCAAGAAGACAGCAGCATTAAATCACCTTACCATGATAAACATTCCACTCCAGCTCTCTGAAGGATCAAACAGTTATAATGTGAAATCAAATGAGGTTTCTAGGGTAATGGAACACCTGCTAAAGTTGTGTAAGCTATTTAGTAGGGTTTACAGTATCCACTTGCAGCTGATGTTCAACACAGATGGCTATTTTAGCTTGCAAACTACACACTACCACATTGTTTATTGAACATAACTATAGAAATAACCATGGCAGAGGAATATTCATGAATTAGTGGGACGAATAACTGCAACGGGTTTCAGAGATGGTGGAGATTTATATTATGTGTTCAAAGGGGAGAAAAGGTTAGTCACTAAAAACTGGATCTCTGTTACAGAACAAAGAATAAAGGATAGAAGTAGTCATTTTTTTTCTTGTAAGGCTGTAAGGGACATTTATTTCCTGAGACCTCTGAATCCAAAAATCAATGATCTTTCTTCCTAAACACTTCTGTCTTGCAACTAAAACACTACAGATTAATAACTATTAAAATGTACTCAGTTGTCAGAAGACAAAAACTGATCCGAATTCACTTTACAAATATTAATACAGACTTGTGTGACCCGGAAGATAAATGTATGTGAACCCTGATAACCTCCTGTAACATTGTGCTGCCTTGTAGATGGTAATGTGAGTTCTCTCAGTATTTATGTTGAAATTTCTAACATTCAACCTAGTCCTTATTCTGTTAATTTAATAATAAAAGATGCTTTATCCATTTGTGCAAAGGTAAACGCAGATTGTATCTTTTTTAATGGTACGGCATAAAAAAGTAACCCTTAAATGAAGCTGCTCTATTACTATAGAGTACTTTAACATGTATAGATATCTTGTAAACTTGTATTGTGGATGTGTAAATAATACGTTCTTTGGGTTTTTAACACCGCATGTAAAGTCAAAATAAAATATTCCCATGTACTGAGTGTGTAATTTCATTATTAGTGCAGATGTGTTACGGGATTACTGTAGGGGAAAATCTCTGGTTGCTTTCAGCTCTGCGAGGAGGGCGCAGAGCCCTCGGCTGCTCCCTGGCCTGCGGGACTTGCAGAGGTGGGTGACACACACCAGGGTCCTGTGTCCTCTCCAGCCACACTGAGCTCTGTGTCTCTGGGGCAGAGTCTGGGTCTGTTGGTGACTTTCAGCCTCCTGAGGCAAACAAAAAGCAGAGTGACCAGCATGTGGTGGCAGAGCTCAGTACAGAATTGGGGCTGCCCACACAACACCAACACCATGCGCTGAAGCTGATCTCTGGAGCTCCATCCAGGTTTCAGCTGGGCTCTAGTTCCTGCACACCCTTCTTATTAAGGTCAAAAAAATACCAATTTTGTGCAAATACAGTACAGTATTGAAAGAATGTAGTGTGTTCCTTCTACAATGTAGTTTACAAAAGGTAGAGCTACTTCCTGGCCAAATTAATTGCTGACTCACATAGCAGGATATTCCTAAATACTTATTAATGCTTAATATCTGAAACTCACATTTCAGGCAGACAGTTAAAGCCCAACAGAAAAATAGATGCTGTATATTTAGTATGTGCCAACATCCCACAAAATTTTAAAATTATCAAGGTAACTTAGTTTCAGAAAACAAATATAACATTCTTCTAATTAAAAGTTGATTTTAGATAGTGGATATAAACGATTTTTTACAAGATTATGCTGTCAGGGTATTAATCATCTGAAATTACTGTGCACATTATAACACTAAAATGGCACCTAGTTGTAGCTTACAAAAAATCCTGAAGGGAAAAGAAATATGGTGCTTAAAAAGTTCCAAAGCTATAATAGCACACTATATATTTCCTAGTAACAAAGAAAATTTCTGGTTTTTTATTAGTATGGGGTTTTCTTCATTGGATGTCTTCATATATGAAATGAAGCATCAAACACTTACAGCTCTCACAACATGCTGCTTTCCCACTTTAACTTTAGCTCTGCCTTTGACACCAGTGTCAGCCAGTGTGGCTAAAAGCTTTCCCTCTGGAGGGGCTGTACCTACCTGAGTCATCTTCAGCCAGGCATTAAAGGTCATCATGAGAAAATTACAAATAGCTGTTTTAGTGATGTGTAAATGTGCATCTGCAGCACAAATCCAGAGATATTTTTTGTTCAGAAAATGTCTCTATCTAAAATGTGTCAAGTGACCATTTTCTGGAGTTCCATGGTTTGGTCTGTATTGAACCAGCCTTCCCTTAACCAGTGATGTGGTGGCTGGATGGTTGTAGCCAGACCATCATCCCCTAACATGCTCTGTTGGGCCTACATGGTGCATGCAAACACCACATTTTATTTATTTATTTTTATTTTTAAATGCGTGCATATAAATATTAAGAATTTGTTAGAAAAATAAGTACAAGAAAACTCTCCCTTTACTAACAAAGATGGCTTGTATCCAATGATGATGCCAAAGCAGCCACCTACAGAAGCCCCATTCTGAAAGGGAACTTCAGCAATAAGAAAAAGCTTAGCAAGAAAAGAGTTTTTCTCCTCTGATGCTTTCCTGGGTCAGCTAGTTGGCTTTAAGCATCTTAAGGTCTCTCGTGAAGAACAATCCAAAGCCACAGGTGATAAAGGAGCACATGAAGGGTGCTTGATATGCCCAGGGTCACCCCAGCAAGAGGAGGTCCCAGCACTGTGGGATGTGGGGTAGGGCAGCTGTGGACACAGGGAGAGAAGAGGAGAGGCTCCTGCTCAACTCTGGCTTGCTTTGGGTTTTGTAGGAAAAAATAGTTTTGAACAGCACACAGACAAAACAACAAAGGGCTGCAGGCCTGTGCTAGTGAGATGATTGCAAGAAAACCAATTTGTAAAGCTGCGAGTAGTTATCTCCATGACTGCACTGCCAGAACAAACCTATGGCCTTTTAAATTGGGGTCTTAAAGTAATCACAGTAGTTAGAAAAATCAGGATGCCTCTGTCTTAGTGCTGTCTTGCTAATGACTCACTCTGTGACCCTGGGAAGATTATGCAGGGTTTATGCACTGAAGGCTCCTTAGAATGCAGTGGGTTTAGTGCAGTTGGTGTGATCTGTACTGTTTTCTTCTTAATGCTTCCTTCTCTCTCTAATTCTGAGCACTAGCAAGGACATCTTGCAGGTAAATAAAGGGAAAGAGAAATACCTTCCCATCTGGGAAAGGTTAGTATTTGCAGGAGTAGGGAAGAGTTGGTTGGTATTTCCCCAGGTGCCTATTAATTTCATGGCATGGAAAAATATTTTTTAAAAATTGATCACGACAAAATACCTCATAAATGCAGCATCTGGACTTCAGCTGGGATGTGCAAGCTTTTCATGTAAAAAGTACTACCAGGAGACCAACATACCAAGACTGCATTTGTTGTTCAAATGTCATCATATCACAGTATAAAAGAGCAAGAAAGCAAAGGCTTTGGGAGGGAAAAAAACCACATTAAATATTTAATTTGATTCAGCTTTGCTCCAAGAAGTAGAGATTCTCGCCTTTTTATTCAGCCCTGCTAAAGTTCAGCTGGTGTGAGGACCTGACTCTGTCCAGCCCTTGCTGCCTGCTTGCAAACACTTTCACAGGCATATTGCATTGGCCTGACACACATCTGAAATTATAATCTGTCCCATGCTCTCAACTGAGAAACTGTTTCTACTCTGCCTGAAACTAAATTTATTGGGAGCTCTGATTTTATTAGTGCATTCTGAATTCATCTGAGGGCCTGATTTATGGTCTCTTCACTTGCTTTTCTCTGACAGTCACTAATAACTTTTCTGAGCTCTTCTCATTAAAATTGTAACTACATCCCAGCCCGTGTCCTACAGTGAAGGCTGCTGACCAGAGCACAGATGCTAGAGGGTCCCCATGTTTAGGTAAGGATTGAGAATTCCTTGGGCTGCAAAGGGGGCACTGCATCCTCCCTACCAGACTGGTGCTTCTGCCCTTCATATCAGCCAGAAAGTGTTGCTTAAGCTCCTGTAAGGGTAGGGGAGGACAAGAAAAGCTACCACATAGACAAGCTGTCCTGGCCATTTTCAGTAATGATCCCCAATTGTCAACATAAAACAATTTTATGACAGAAAAACTTAATGGCCAAAAAAATAAATCCCAACCCCAAACTGATCTGCACATATCTTACTGTCCTTGTTTTGAGAATGAGAAGCTGTTTTCCAGGGCAGAGTCTCACTGCACAAAAATGAGCAAAGAATATCAGTTCTCAATGAAATCTCTTCTACAGGATCATACCTGGCTGTAATAGCTGTTTTGTAAATTTTTCCAGTAGCTGACCTTAGCCATTGGCAGAGGCAGTCCATGAGCTCAGTGGTTTTCTTCTGCAGCAGTACTGACAGCCTCTAACATATGTCTGTTCCTGCAGAGAAATGGACAGCTGCCTAGTAAGAGAAGAAAGGTGGCAACTGGCTTTTAATTTGGGTCACTTCAAGCATAGGGTTATTTCTAAAATCTTTGATTTACAATACTAGCCTCACATGAGGAAAAAATAATCAGAAGCAGATCAGAGCAGATGAATCATAAAAGCAATGCATAAGCTAGCTGCACATTCCTTTTCTGTGCACTGAATATCCATGTTTGCTCTGATTTCCTCAGGAATACATGTTGGTCAATTAACAGCCTGAGCTGAAGATTTTTTTTTTTTTTTTGTTAGAGACTAATGGCAAATTTTTATTATCAGGTCGTGCTGTATAACTATGAATGGCCATTAGTCACAGGTTATTGTGCCTGGCCAACATTTAGGTGAGAGAGAATCACTTCCAATATTAATGTGGTGTGTGAGAATTGATTTCTGTGAAAGCTTGTGCATGCAGCTCTAACATTCAGTTTCTGTCACTGCTGCTTGGATGAAATACTGCCTCCATCGAGGGAGATGGCAGAGCTGCATGGGGCCAGGCCTTTGCCCTCACTCACTCAGACATCCCCAGAAAGCAATTGTTAAGGAGGTGTGAGCAAGGCCAAAGTAAAACGGGATGCACATCTGCAGGAAAGCATTTGCAGCCCCCAGCATCATCTCTGGCCACAAACGTTTGATAGCGATCAAGGCTTCAGGGTAAGAAAAATGTCTCTGTAGGAATTACCTGCTTTTTCTGGAGAGTTGGAGAGTTTTGCAGCAGGTACTGTCATAGGAACTGAACAGGCTTGCTTGGGCCAGCTGACACTTTGTGTGTGGAGTCCTCTTGCCATCCCTGGACCGCCGTGTGTGTGGCTGCAAGTCTGCTTTTAAATTAGCTGGCAAATCCCATCAAATATTGGACTCAACTGGGACATAAGGTGCCAAATGCTGAACTTCCAGGCACAAGAGAAAAGCCAGGTGAAGGTACCCAGAGAGCTCATTGAGACTGCTGGGAGAGCACTCCTGGTGCTAACAGAAGCAGAAGAAGGCGTCTTGAGTTTGTTTCACTTCTACTAGTAAATCTGGCACACCTAAATATCAAAATCACAGAATGATTGAGGTTGGATGGGATCTCTGAGATCATCTGTTTCAAGCCCCCCTGCTTAAGCAGGGTAACCTGAAGCTAAATAAACATTCAGGAAATCACTGACCTGAGCTAGGACCCTGGACTGATTGACAGTAAAAATGATAATTCACCCTTACAACCCTTTCTAGAAGAACTTTCAAATTAGGCAGGTCTTCTAGCAGACAGGTGAAGTCTTCCTTCTACCCAGACTGAGGGGAGTTTAGCTATCCAACTACTCTTTTTATTGCAGCACTTACTTCTCTTTGACAAGCATAGAGTGCACATCTCAAACAGTTCTTCTCTGTTCAGATCCCAGAGGATATCTGCCGATCCTAATGCACAGCGCACCGTTCTCCGTGCAAGCCTTTCATCTGAAATGACATCACGATCAAAGGCAAGGTTATACAGAGTGCAACACACTGAGAAAGTCATGTGATATTTCAGAGCTGCTTCATTACTGGGACGAGAGTTCAGAAAGTACTTGA